GCTGTATTTACTGTTACTGGTGAGAAATCTCATAAAAGGAAGAGCTAATGAGGAAACTAATTTCTGTAGATGAAAAAATAATAATACAATCGAATTATAAATTATATTTTGAGGATTTGAATTTTACAATACCAGTTATAATAAAAATAGGATTATAAAAAAAAACAAGTAGCGAACTATGAATACAAGTTAGAATAGAATATACATATTTTCACAATTACATACAACTTATTAATAACAAAATAATGAACTGAAAAAATGTCATATAGCATAAAGTTCCCACTGTAGGATCACTACGTTCATAACGTAGTTAGTCAAGCTCATATTTTTACGTACATTTAAAATTTTGAGAATCTATTTATATAAAAGGCTAGGATGACAAGTCACACTGTTTGTTCAGTAAGGTAACTACGCCACCTAGAAAGAAATCTGAACTACCAACATCTACCAAAATTAAATATAATTAAGTAAAAGCTGTAAAAATGCTGTTGAGACAGAAAAAATTCACATTTCGGCATTGGAGCGTGTGATACGTTAAATGAAAGGGCACTACACAGTATATTCAATATTAATGAACGTATAGCGACATACGAGATATGATAGGGTACTATGAATAAACATAGATTTACCATAAGACAAAATTTGATTTTTGGACTTAAAGAAGGCCTCAGGTTAAGTACAAAATAAACAACTGATTGAATCCTAACATGCGACATGGCAAATGAAAGGGGAGTATATAACGAATATATTCAGATAGAAAAAATAAACAAGGCGACTACTAAAGGGGCACTACGCAGTATCTTCAATATTAATGAAAGTATAATGACATACGAGATATGATAGGATACTATGAAAAAAAATATATTTACCATAAGACAAATTTTGATTTTTTGAGTTAAAGAAGGCCTCAGGTTTAGTACAAAATAAACAACTGATTGAATCCTAACATGCGACATGGCAAATGAAAGGGGAGGATATAACGAATATATTCAGAAAAAATTAACAAGGCCACTACGCAGTATTTTCAATATTAATGAACATATAGCGACATACAAGATATGATATGATATACACTATGATATATAAAAATAGATTTCGTTTAAGACAAATTTTGATTTATTGACTTAAAGAAGGTCTCAGGCTGAGTACAAAATTAATAGATCGAATCCTAACATGCCATATAAATCTTCTCTGCTATTTAATATTCTGTTTTAAAAGGTTCAAGAAAGTTATGTTTTTTACATAGCTTAAGTTTTTTAAGTTTAAAATTTTAGTTTTGTTTTTAATACTAAAGCATGAAGAATCAAACCAAAACTGAATTTTAGGAGGCCTGTTATATAGTTTCTGCAAATAAGTAATACTCAAATTCTTGCAGAATATAAAATAGTAGAACATATATGTTACACCCAGCTAAGATACCTACTCACAAACAGGAACACTAACAGTCGAATCATAATTTTGAAAGACAAAATCAGATTCCACTTTCAGACAACGATGACAAAGTGATAGCATATATCGCTGTTCCGGAAGTATAATGACAAAACTGTAAAATTTTGAAAAATGACTTTGTGAAAAATATTGTGTTGGAGGGATCAAAACTGCATTTACAACATATTTGTAAATCGTCGTAATTGTACTTACGAATTTCGCCATGACCGGTGATTCCGTAAGTAAAGTTATGATGATTTAAAAATATATAGAAAATGCAGTTTTGAGCCCTCCAACACAATAAAGTCATTTTTCAAAATTTTACAATTATGTATTTATACTTCTGGAACAGCGATATATTGATTTCCAAGGACGTAGATATTCTTTATGATATCAAGCTTATCTGTACTACATTTCTAGTATATCTATTATATAGTATATTTCTACTTATCTGTATTACTAGAGTTTAGATTTAGATAGTTATCTACCAAGTTCATGACCAAAATTTACAATTTCCCACAAATATCCATTAATTAGTTTTAAAAATATATGCATACCTTCAATTCTATATGTCAATGATTCTGGAGTACTCGCAAATATTTGTAACTTCTCCACAGGTGTGCCTACAAAATTACAAAAATTAGTTCTCTTATTATTAACCTGAAAGAAAGAACATACCTTGAACTGGAATGTTTAATCTCACAAGATGAATAGATGGTTTTGCGTTTTTTTTTTCAACCTGCTTTTTAGCATTCCTGCAAAGGCCGGTTCCTCAAAATGTAAACTACATATTCTAAAGTGCTCATAACAGTATTGAGCACTGTACATGGCAAGTTTCTCACATTGAACAATTTTCTGCCATTCTGCAAACCTGAAAATACAACACCGACGATGATGTCAATGATATTAAATAGAGAATTTAGTTCTTACCGATTTTCATCCTTGGGAAACCTGAAGAAACTCAAGTTCAAGTTGTTATGGTCCCTGGAATTTTTTCTACATACACAGCAATAATGAACTTTTGATTTGGATGAATTCATCATAATCCGTTGTTTAAAATAATAAAACCACTTAGAAAACTGGAGAAATATCACAGTAATATGTATTAAATACGAAATAAACTTATAAAACCAACTACACTGCACCCCAAAATTAACGCATAATTTTAAAAACCCTGGTAAATCAAATAATTTTAATGTTTCGATTTTTGTGCTAATATATTATTGTTACCCCCAGTATATTGTAAAATTTATCGTAAAATTTATCAGTAAAAGAACGGTAAAAACCGCTGATGTTTTACCATTATTTGCAAAATAATTAAAAACATGCTAATAATTGTGCTTCATTTTATTTCGAATTTAGTTGGGTTGGATTACGTTGTGCTGAACGTTTAAAGGGTTTTTCAAGTTTATTAAGTGTTTTTTCTTTAAAATGAACCATCAGCAACAAGAAAATCGAAATTTGTCAGAAAGTGACTGTTTTAGAATCGTTACTCTTCGCGAAGAAGCATACACTCAAGTAGATCTCGCTGAACGTTTTAACGTCACCCAGTCAACCATTTCAAGAGTGTTAACACGTTTTTCTGTTACTGGAAGTAACTCGAGAAGACCCGGTCAAGGCCGTAGAAGGGTTATAACTCCTAATCGAGACCGGTTTTTGAACTTCGTACATTGAGACAAAAGTTTGTTACCAACACTTCTCTACAAAATGAACTTTTGGATCGTTATAACTTTAGAATTAGCCAAAATACGATTAGAAGACGACTTGCCGAAAACGACCTACATCCTAGAAGGGCACCAATTGGCCCATTATTGACCAGAGACCATAGAAGGCAAAGATTGCATTTTGCTCGTAAACTTGTTGATTGGAATAATGACGATTGGGGAAGAATATTGTTTACCAATGAATCCAGGTACTGTCTTTTTTCTGATGACAGGAGAAACCGAGTGTATAGAAGGCCTGGGAACGCCACGCACAGTGTAACACCGTAGGGACTGTACAGTATGGCGGCGGCTCGGTAATGGTGTTGGGTGGGATTAATTTAGAGGCTCGTACGGAATTAGTTAGAATAGATCGCTGTCGGCTTACATCGCAGAGGTATATAATAGACATTTTAGAAGAGCATGTCGTGCCATTTGCACCATTTATTGGGGATAATTTCATGCTGATGCAAGATAATATAAGCCCATACACGGCAAGAATTGTGCAGAAGTATCGTCAGGAGGTTGGAATTCCTGCCATGGATTGGCCTGCGAGTCCTGCTCTCAACCCAATAGAACATGTTTGGGACATCATAGGCAGACGACTACGACAACTACCTAATGCACCAAACACATTAGATGAACTGTTTTTGTGGTTGATTGAAATTTGGGATCAAATTGATCTAGAAGAAATCAGAACGATTATTTTCAGTATGAGAGATCATTGTCAAGCAGTAATAAATGCCAGAGGAGGCAATACTCGATACTAGTACACGATACTAGTATTTTCTATAACTTTAAAAATTTCAATTTCGTCATTAATTTATAATGTTGTTTTGTTTAGATCAGTTTGTTTAGATGTATGATGTTATATTGTTAATTTCAATACATTTTTTGTAAAAAAAGAAAAGATTTTTATTCAAGATGTTCTAAAACAACCATAAAGCAGAAAAGAACAAACAAAAATTTTTTCATTGCAACTCAAAATAAGAATTTTAAAATTATGCGTTAATTTTGGAGCGCAGTGTATATAACAACAAATAAATGAAATTTATATATAAATTACTGAAATAACTAGTTTCACAGCATAAACACAAACACGTGGTTGGGTAAAATCAATGTTGCCAAATGTAATCAATCAATGGATAGATACTTATGATTAATTATTTGAGAATAGATTAAGTCAATTAGGCAATATGATTTTTCAAACTTTAGAAGTGTGTATAGTGGGTATGTGAAGAATTTTACCATTTATGAAATTTATTTTCCTCTTTTTGAAGAACTTCTATAATAATTATTTTATTATAAATTTGGAATAATCTTTGAAACTGATAGAATATTTTAAATCTTGCAACAGCGGCCTTTTTTCGCCAAATCCATTGCGCACGGTGTGGCTTGGCCCTAGGAGTGGATTCCAAATTGGAACCGTGAAAATGCGAGAGTGAACCTACTGATTCTCTTAAAGCACTATACTGTGGTAACGAGTTATCTACGTAAGATGGAGGTGTAACAATGGGAGATTGCTGCACAAGGCTGACTAGAGTGGAAGAAAATAGTAAACGTAGAAAAGACTCACTTATATAAGTTGAGCCCAGTATTCTCATAACGAGGATGTGCAGCGGATTTCAAATTTAAAATAAAATACAGGGTGTTTTATTAAAAACACATACTTTTGGGTGCGGTACAGTGTTATGGAAGACCCTGTATATTTTTAACTAATTTTAAAACGTTAAACTTAAATAGCCTCCTATTTTTGTAAATGACTTTTTTGGTATCTTCTATATTATCAGATATAACGGACTTCGTCACAAAACTTGATCACCCTGTATATTTTCTAATTATCCTTTCTTATATTTAATTATTTATTTTTAGTATTTCGCCCGTTAAAAAAGAGGATGATGAAGGTGATGCGTTTAGTCCAACTCAGAAAGGAAGAAGAAATATTAGATCCATTCAAAGTGATGAAATTTTGGCGGTGGAAACTCAAATAGCCAAAAAAGCAGAATTGGAAAGAATAGAGAGATTGAAGGGTCGCAGTAAATTACTAGAAAGCATGTCACAATCCACTCCTTCTGAAACTGAGGTAACAAATGTTAATTCGCATTCACGCACTTTCCCTATCAATTATATTGAATTCAAATTATCACAACCCCTCCACTCCTCAACCTATCAGGATCCATTGTTCCATCCCGTTTATATCTTATAAAATCATAAATATCAAGTTTTAAGAACTTATTGCGAACTTAACTACTTGGGAGCTATATTTCCTATATTCTTTGGTCGCAAGAAGAAACACAATAGCGACGTTCATATAAGAACTGTTGAGAACTTTTCTTTCATTTTGATTTTTCTGATTTTGTAACCATATAGCGACTTCTTTACGAGCAGGAAAATCTCCTTGTAGCCGTGCTTGTTTCTTTGTTAAATGAAAAGGATATACATTTTAGTTGTGTGAGATTTTTCCTGCGGAAAATTTTGAAATTGTGGGATACATGGCAGATGGTGTTCGAATGCTAATTTCTAAATGTTTCTCAACTTTCATTAAAATACATCTTCATGTGCTGATGTTACATTATAATGTCGCCCTGTTGTATAATTTTTTGAGAAGACTGAACTTAAATTAGAGTTCAGTAATTATCTGGGATAAATGTACTATGGTTCAAGTAAATAGATCAAAATATCGGGAAAGAAATGAAAGGCAGGATTTACAAAACAGTCATCAGACCAATAATGACATACGCGGCAGACACACTACCAGACACAGAGAGGACAATAACGCTCCTTTCACACAATAAGAATTTGAACGTGCGATGGTTTGAACGCACGATGACATTCCAATAGTGACTCAAGCAATAGCACGGTACCTTTCACATTACACGGCGGTTTAGACGTTCGGTGAAATCGCCGTGTGCAGGCCGTCCACTGCCACTACAAACATACGGCGTCGTGTCGTGCTTACGAGCCTAGTAGTATACGTGACTAAATGCATCCTTTCACATGATACGGTTATTCAGTCGCACGAAGGTACAGTTGCGGTCACGGAATAGTTTACAGGTTCACGTATCTAGGAGCCCATTTTTTAAATTTTTACTTCGTTTAAACGCACCTTTTACGTCAAAGTGACGTTGCCAGTGGTTGTACTAGCTAGAATAGGTAGATTAAAATTAAAATATCAAAATATTTTACAAAATGAAAAATATAGAAAACAGTTTTTTGAATAAAATGGATTATGATTATGATATTATTATTATTTTTTATTGAATAAAATGATTATTGCCCTCCTGAACCGCCCAACCGTGCTATAGAGTGAAAATTATCCCATCTTTGTTTAATCTTCCATATGCACATATGACTCACGTTCAAATCAGCAGCAACTTGCCTTAGTGACCAACCTTCTTCGAATTTGGCAATTGCTCTTGCTTTTTGCGCATAATTCAAATGTATTCTAACCATTTTGGAAGAGTTTAATACACTTTTATTTTATTGTTGAACACTCGCGAAAGCATTGACGTTTTGAAATTTTTTGACTTTGACATTTATCAAATCCGTACGACACTGCAATTTTACAGTATTACAATATAAAAAGTAAGGTGTAAACTATTCCGTGACCGCAACTGTACCTTGTTGGATGTTTGGTATATTTTTTATTTACACTTTGCAGCTGTTTAAAGTAGGTGATGAATATGATGTCTGAAATTGATAGTGAAATAATTAATAACATTGGTTGAAGCCAGACCTGTTCTTTGGGATAAAACAGTAGAAATATATAAAGATAGAAACGACGTTAATAGGATGGATAAAATGAATTCGGTCCCTCTTATTTCTCTTTTTCGACGATAGAGTAACCACAACGCTAAAATTTGATTTCGCTCCATATCTATACTACACCTCTTATTTTACGAAATTATATCTAGTGTTATGAGGTAAACGACTCTGTTAAAACTGAAGTACGGCAGCAGTGACGCCTTGTGTGAAAGCACAATCAATTCTGAACGTGCGTCAAAACCACCGAAAGTTCAAATTCTTAGTGTGTGAAAGGGGCGTAAGGATATTAGAAACAGCACAGATGAAAAAACTTAAAAATTAATGGTAAAACTCCATGGGACAGAGATATAAATACAAATATACGACGTAGATGCAAAGTGGAGAACATCAAGGACTGGGTAAGAAATAGAAGAGTAGAATGGAACGATCATATAAGCCAAATGACAACAAATAGAGTAGTAAAGACGACAAGAGTAAAAAATGGCTTCTCCATGTATACGATTGAAAAGGCACAGAAATTCCGAAACAAAATTAAAGATCCAGGAGGAGAAGAACCAGTCGGAAAAACTATCCTGCCCTATATAAAGGGTACGACAGACAAAATCAGCAGAGTGCTACGTAAAAACAAAATGGAAACTATTTTTAACACCAACAAAAAATCGCAACCATATTACCATCGGCAAAAACAAAAGTTGCATTGGAAAATCAAGGTGTATACAGAATCCCGTGTGAGGACTGCGATAAATCGTACATCGGACAGACAAATCGAAGGATTCAAGTTAGACGCGAAGAACATCGAAACGCCATCGAAAGAAAAGAGGAAACTTCATCTCTAGCACAACATGCCATCAACACAGGACACAAAATAGACTTAAATGGAACAACAATGCTAGCCAACATCGAAAATAAGGCCAAACGTGTAATCAGGGAAGCCACAGAGATCGAAAAACATCCAAAAAATTTAAATATCAGAGATGATGCCCAAATACTCACAAATACGTGGAAACCAACTACCCAAACCATATATATATATATATATATATATATATATATATATATATATATATATGACTTACCATAAAGTAAAACGTGACACAGACATTAACGAACTGACAAATAAAAGTTGATATCGGATATCTCATTGTTTACTGTCATTAGTATATAATTATTTTTATATGGGCGTATCATTGGTGTTTTCGAAAAAGGGTAAGGTGGAGATATGTTATGACTTAAGGGCTTTTTATGATGTTATATTATTATTGTTTAAATCAGATTGAAATATATATATATATATATATATATATATATATATATATATATATATATATATATATATATATATATATATATAGTTACGAAAGTTACCCTCCAAAGAAATATATATATATATATATATATATATATATATATATATATATATATATATATATATTATAATTAAAATATGTAAAACAATATTATTTCATTTTTAGAAAAATCCGCCTTTAATCTTGGATATGGAAGAAAAAACCAATAAAATATTGGTAAAAGTTTCTCCACATATCACCAACAGATTAAAACCACATCAACGGAAGGGTATAAAATTTATGTGGGATTCTTGTTATGAAAGCCTTAAACGTATTAAGGAACATCCTGGCTCCGGATGCATTTTAGCACATTGTATGGGACTTGGAAAAACGTTTCAGGTATGGCATAGTTTACACTATCATTTACTACTTTTCACTGCATTAATTTTTAAAATGAGGATTATTTTTAAGGATCATGATTTTATTATAAAGAATCAATAAAAATATCGTAATTAGATCAGGCCTTGGAATAACTCTTCCTTTTTTGGGATTTTTTTTAACTTTTATCAACCATTAACTTTGAGTTTTTATCGAAGTTAAATAATTTTCTTCAGTTAAAAAATGTTTCTTCTTTTGCTTAGCAAAATCTGCTTTCATTGGTTTAAAAATAAAATATACCTACCTACAAAAGTCAAAACACTGGACGAGCGAAACGTGATTTTTCCTGATAATCTATTTTATGATTTCGTAAACAAATCGGCAAATATTGTTATACGCTACCCGAAGGATGCATAAGACTACCGATAAAATATATCGAATTATGATTTGTCATAATGCCGATGTATTGGTTAGATATTGCTCCACTTAGACTGATTAACAGTTTAATGAAAACTTCAATTGGGTAACTGTCCATATTTTCAAATATAATACCAGGCTCATCTGAATGTAAATATCGATGAGAATATTCAAACTTTATATTATTATACATCTGTCATTGATAATTTTGCAGTTAATATCTACTCCTGGTAGAGTATTTTTATTTTAATTTTTATTGCCTCTTTTTACTACATATACATATATTACACAATCTCACCGAAACGCGAGGCGACTATAACTACGTTATTACACTGGTAACCTTTCTTTGCTTTAATTTGAAACAATATCCTAAAGTTAAATATAAACCTTTTATTAACTATTATCACACCACTATCAGTGATTGGTATTCTATTTGTCCTTCATGTTTAATGTTTACTGTTCTTTTACATATTTTTACGTACTTCAGTTTTTTGTGGGTTTTATAAAAACTAACTTTTGTTTTTTCTTCAAAAAAATATTGAACGTTTACGTCTATGGAGTTTTTGGGAACTCTTCTTATGGGAACTTTTTTTATACTTCATTTCCATGATATTGATAGCAGAAAATTCATTGTAAGTTATTCTGTGTAATCTTGTCTATGGTTGTAAGCATATCGATTTACTTTTAGATGAACTGATAATATGTATGGATTTATATATGAAAACTTTTTAATACAGGATTGAGTAACAAGATCCCTTTGTTTTCTTCTCCAATTTTATGACCGATATCCCTCCCATAAGCAGATATCCTTGTGAACTACATTTTGTATTTCAATTGACGGTCGTACTTCTTTTTCGATATATATATATATATATATATATATATATATATATATATATATCATATGATGATGATGATATATATATATCATCATCATCATGTGCAGCTTTGTCGACCGTTTCCAATTACGGTGCAGCCTCCCTTATTTCAATGTTATTCTATGTTCTTATTAGTATTCGACGATGTCTTAGTTATTCGTTGTTCTTGTAATTTGCGCTCATTTGCGTCCATATTTTTCTATCTTGTGCTATTCGAGACCACGTTGTTCCTGTTAATTTTCTTATATCATAGTCCCATCTGAGATTCGGGCGCCTCTTTGGTCTCTTAGCGTTCCTGGGATACATATATATATATATATAATATATATATATATATATATATATATACTAGCTGACCCGGCCACGCGTTGCTGTGGCTAAAGTTTTTGTTATATTACATTATAGTAAACAATCTAAGAGGAACAATAAGAGAACATCAGTCACGGAGTCCACTATGCTTTTTCACACACGTGGTATTTGTAAAATAATATGGTGATCTCCTTATTTGACTTTCTACTACTATAACCCAATGAAATTATTTACGAACAAAGACGAAAATGTTGATGTTGGTATACAAATTCACTGGATTGAGATTTGAAGGGGAAGTACCATGGGGAAGTACGTTGAACATAATTAATTAAAATGTTCTTACACTTGATATTAAGCAGAAATCAATAGGTACAAAATAAAAATTTATCAGATTTATTATTTCCGTTTAATTTATAACAAATATAAGTATATTACAGTATAATAGGTACAGTAAATAACATGTGACGCTTAAACTCATGAATGAGGTAGGCAAGGCAGACAGTCTTAAACTTTTAAACATTAATATCTATTTTTTTGAATTATAAATACTTTCAATTTTAATTTAATTTAACACCAATCGGTGCACAATGTTTTTGGTTAACCTGTCTTTAGCTAACACAAATAGATTCGACGGTTTCCCAACACGTGAACACGCAACATATAGTTGCTCATGAGAAAAACATGGATTTTCCAAATCTAAACCACAAATGGACATTGTTTGACCTTGAGATTTATTTATAGACATGGCAAAAGCTAAACGAATTAGAAACTGTAGCCTTTTGAAGGGTATGGTAGAATCTGATGGTATCATCGGAATACGTGGCAGCAGGACCACTTTTCCTTTAAACTTCCCAGCAAAAATGGTTGCTTCAAGAATGTTTCCGGTGATCTTTTTGATGACCAAACGCGTACCGTTACATAATTGAGGTGGATTCAAATTACGGAGGAGAATAATAGGGGAACCAATCTTTAATCGAAGATTATGTGGTGGCATTCCAGGGATATCTAATGAATTTAAAAATTCAATCGGAAAATTTACACTTTCATTTTCATCAACAACAGTATCGATTGATTTAAAAAACATCAGATCACCTGGTAACAACTGTTGTATCTGGAAGTTAATTTCGTCAACATCAACGTTTTTGGCTGCCAAAATCGCCCGTTGACTAAGCCATTCATGATTCAAATAATTATTCTGTATATCCGTAAAATACTCTGAATCAATTCATTTTTATCCTGAACAACAGTGCAAAATTTGTCTGGAAGTTTAATGCATTGCGTATTTGGTTGCAGTTCTATTTTACCGTTCCCAATATCTAGTAGTTGTTCGGAAAATATTTGTGCTGATGGATCATTTTGCAATTGTACTCGCAAGTGTTTCAACACTTCGCCATAAGAATGATTGTTTCAAACATGCATTAATCTCATCCGCGAAAGTAGAGCGAGGTATAACCGGTAAGGTCTGCCGGAAGTCACCAGACAAAAGTAAGATAGCACCAACGAAAAGTTTATTATTGCTGTTTAAATCTTGCATAGTTCTGATTAATGCTTCAAGTGAATATTTGTGTGCCATTGTGCACTCATCCCAAATTATTATAGAACTCTTCCGCAACACTGCAGCTATTCCACTATTCTTTTTGATGTTACACATTGCATCTGGTTTATTACGAACGTCCAATGGCAGCTTGAATGTTGAATGTGCTGTTCGCCCACCATCCAGTAAAGTAGCCGCAATGCCTGACGATGCTACTGCTAATGCGATTTTTTGTTGCGACCGTATTTTGGCAAGAATCAACGATATTAAAAATGTCTTGCCGGTTCCACCGGGTGCATCCAAGAAAAAAAAAACCGCCTTGTTCAGCAGCAACAGCCAGCATAATCCGATCATAAATATTTTTTTGTTCTGCTGTCAGTAATGGTTCACTGTTCATGATAATTATTGCTAAACTTCCATGGTCATATTGATTTTCCCGTTGTAAATCGGTATTGACTAAGTCGGTGGCTGGACGATTAGGTGATGGTATACCATAATGATTAAGTGGTAAATTTGAAATAAGAACACATAAATCCTCGATCAAGACCAATGCTTCATTGTACATCTCTGGTGTATAATCTATGTTTTGGCATTGATTTGTTTGTCTAATTCGGTGCAAGATGTCTTCTGTTATACAATTTTTATATTTTTCCCACAAACTTTGTGCTTGCGAGGGATAACATGTCGTCAAAATAATTGCAAACAACTGACGAATGTTATTCGGTGTTGATGTCAACGCAGCATCAGCAAGCGTTAAATCCCAATGGTTATCGTCTTCTAGCAATTGCAGTTCACGACATGCATCCTGGTATGTATTGAATACTCGACCATTAACTGTTCGTAAAAATTCAAAAGACGTTGGTCCGGGAACATTCACCAATAACAAACGTAAATAGAAGCACTCACGTTGCTTTGGATGTACCGTGTAAAGTCTCCCCAATGTCTTAGCTTTGAATATGCCTGTAATGGAAGGATGTGGTTTTCCTTGTTTCCGTGGCTCCCATTTTTTACTGGATTTGTTCCATGTGAAATAACGTGGAACATCACCAAACACCAATGTCTTCGCGAATTGGCCAAAAACATCAGGTTTTTGACACAATGTAAAAAATTCAGTTAGAGTCGTTTTCGGAGCTTCGAACGCTCTTTGGAGAACATTTTCTTCAGTGAAGTATACACGTTGACCGTTTTCAAGATGTATTGCCAGATGTTGGACAGCAGGATCTCTTTCGTGGATGGGAAAGCTGAGAATATGCCAAATAGCTTCATTGCTGCTAATGTATCTTCCCATTTGGTATCGTGCTATTTCGTCATTTTTATTTATGTTTTGTACTTCAAATATAGCCAAATCACTGCCTTTGTTTACATATTTACAAATATACTTAATTGATTTAACAGAACTGCAAAGCTCAATATTGATATGAGCTTTGTAAGTTTTTGAAAGTAGTGGTGAGTATGGTACCACCCACTTATTGTCAAACTCAACTTGATTTGGAAAGTTCGGCAGTCGCATTGTAAATGTGTGGCCACCATTCTCAGTACTTCTGCGGCGATACATTGGATAACCATCAATATCCGTGATCGTGTCATTCGTATGCGGCTTTGGGAAGTTTTTTTTTACATTTTCCATTTTCCATGCACGGTGACGTCATGTTGAAAGCACCGCATGGCCCATGGATCATGTGTTTGGTGACAATATCAAATAATTCTTGATCAATTAATGGGTCTGGAATTTCGGCTGAAATTATTTGATCGATTTCTTCAGGACGGATTCTATCTTTAAGCCAAACCAAAATGTGGGCATGAGGCAAACCTCGCTTTTGCCATTCTATCGTATATAGCCAACAACGTGTGATACCAAAAATTGAATATTTAACAATAAAATC